GTGCATTCACGGTCATTTGTGGTCTGTCACTGCCGCCATTGACCAACTTCGTTTGCTGACGCACGCCTGACCTCCGTCCCTCGATGGCGTTCCCTCGGGTGGCGTGTCAACCTCCCTCTTTCGCCTTCAGGCTACATCTTGAATATCGACGGCGTGTGCGAACCGTACGCAAACTTACCGGACCCCTTCCGACCTCCTCGACCACCGCGACCAACCATTCCCTCACCCCCGCGCCCATCCTTGCCGCCTCCACCACCAAAACCGCCAAGTCCTGCGCCGCCCTCACCTCCACCACGTCCCAGTCCTCCCAGCCCTCTTCCTCCCTCGCCTCGGCCTCCCAGCCCTAGTCCCCCTTCGCCCCCTTCGCCTCGACCTCCCAGCCCTAGTCCCCCTTCGCCCCCTTCGCCTCGACCCCCCAGCCCTCCCAGCCCTCCCAGCCCTCTTCCTCCCTCGCCTCGGCCTCCCAGCCCTAGGCCCCCTTCACCCCCTTCGCCTCGACCTCCCAGCCCTCCTCCTCCTTCGCCAATACCTCCGAGTCCTCCCAGACCTCCCCCTCCCTCGCCTTTACCACCTAACCCTCGTGCCCCTTGGCCTCCCTCGCCTCAACCTCCCAGACCTCCGCTTCCCTCACCTCAACCTCCGTCGCCACCAGATTCCCCGACGGTGTCCCCAATCACGCAGAGTACGAATCAAGAAAAAACCATGAGTACGGCGGCGATCACCGGCATCGCAGTCTCCCTCGTAGTGCTCGCTGCTTTGTTGACAGCAACAGGTTGGTGCGCACAGTCTTAATTTTTTGTTCCGTTATAACATATCCCCTCTTCTTAAACAGCTGCATTCCATTTTCTGTGGGGTAGTTCTTGTAAGTGAACTAATTCTTCAGCTAATCGTGCACACCAAATTTAACGTCGTACGCAAACTGGTGGGTTACCTGCTGGGGACGTACGTGTAGGGTTAACGACTGCGTATTGTGGCCGGAAAATTCACGTAGCGATGCCTAAGCTATTCGAGGGGACTTCCCATCTCAAGCTGCGAGTGGGGTAAAGGGGTCCGGCCTCGGTGCGGCGCTCTTGGCCACTCCTCGCCCGCGCGGCTCTCCTTCTTACCCATAAATCAGATGTCCACATCACCACCTAACTTGTTCCGAATCGCCCTCCTCCCTCTCTGTGGTCCATCTCTGTCAGTGTGCACATTTTTGGTCATGCGGGCGCACCGGCGGAGAAAAGAGAGAGAACGCTACGGCTTTCACAACGACGACGATGTGGGCGACGATACGCGTGGCAGTAGCTCGGTGCCACGGGACTTTCTGTTTGAAAACCCTATCGCGCAGGAAAATTCAATGCTACGGGCCACTAATGAAGGCATCCTACATGAAGACTTTAGCCTGGATGAAGCTTCTTGGGCGGACATCGAAGGGGAGGAGGCAATAATGCTCGAACAGCATGAACACAGCGGACCGGCAGACGGGGCGAATGATTTGGACCAAGTCGAAGAAGCCCGGCGGCGAGCTCTGTACCAACCCACCCAGCGTTGGGACCTCGTCGCACACCAATCTCAGTGACAGCCAGCGCCACACACGCGCCCGTCCATATATGCCCTCCCCCTGCGTACGACCGTCCATATATGCCCTCCCCCTGCGTACGAATAGGATCGTATGGGTTGCCTGCGCTCAGCTGTACATGTTGCTGCTGCTGGCGCATGCATGGTGTCGATTTAGTGTTCATGGGCTCACAGAGGTTTGGCTGTCAGTAACGCGTGCAAGAGCGGGAAATGGCTTTGGGCCGCGGCTATCGTTGGTCCTTGATGACACTCGTAATTTGCGGAATTCCTTTCCCGGGGCTGGCTGCTGGCCGGGCCTGCTGCGCCGGCGGTTTGCAACCGATAGAATGCAAGCCACGAATAGAACGATGCAGCAGCAGGGAGGTCCAGCCAGCCGTGGAGCTTCACAACGTATGAATGCGTGCGGCAGGCAATGTGTGCTGTGTAATGGTATGAGGCTCTCGTTGGGTTATTTGCGTGCGCTTGTAGGCTGCGTGTGGCTGCGTGTGGCTGCGTGTGGCTGCGTGTGGCTGCGTGTGGCTGCGTGTGGCTGCGTGCGTGATCAGTGTCATATGCGCACGCAAGATAATAGGTAGACTCAGCTGCGGACCATGTAGTATAGATTTATGTACTTGTGCATTACCGCACCGTGCCAGTCAGTTTTGAATCCCGTTGCGTTGAGCGATTACAGAGAACGAGGGCGTTGGTTGCTTGATTGTAGATACATCCAAGATAGATAACTTGATGCCATCGGCAGCATCGGATTTTAATTTATTTATGTTTTCTACACGCAATTTATGCTATGGCTTGAAATGTGCTAGGCGCGCACTCCTCAGAGGGGGCAGTATTTTTGGGGGCCTGGGACGTTGGAGTAGCTAAGTGGCGTGACTGTTGCTGCAGCTTGCGATATCACTGTTCGTGGGGGAAAAAGAACATGGAAGCCTTCCATACGGGCTGTGTCAGGAGGTGCACCAAGATTCTGATGTGCAAACAGATCCCCGTTAAAAAACATAGAATGTATGAAGGGTGTGCATGTTCGTGCTGTCGATGTATGTGCTGTCGCGCATGGCGAAGGGCGACTGTGCATGTGCATGTGCATGTGCATGTGCATGGGGAAGCAAGGGACAAAAGAGGGCAGCTTGAGGTCATTGACGTATAACGGCTTGCACGTAGGACTGATGTTGTAACAAACACGCAGGATTAACTTTTTCAAGTAATTGCATGGGATGCTCATGCCGCAATGGTATGCTCATTGCCGCATGCCGAAAGAAGCATTGACGTGCATGCAGTAGCAAGTCATGCATGAACGAGCTTCCGTGCCATGGCCGATGCGGTACACCGTACAAGTGCCAGTATGCAGACCCTGTGCCCGCCTACTAACTGAGTTCTAGACACTGAGGAGCGCGCGATGCTGAAATCCCCATAGGCACTGAGTTGCTATGTGCAAACCCAAATTATGATTGCCCGCACCCGCCCGTTAGTATGGTGGTTTAGGGCCTGTGTGCAACAAAGTGCACGCTGGTGCACATGCATGTGTCAAGACCTGTGTGCCTGTGCCAGGGGTAGCTAGAGATGCCACCGGGGCTCAGGCATGTTTGTATTTGTGTTCCTTAATGTAACGGCATGACCAACAGCTTTAGGTCGAGGCATTTATATTGTCGTCATCGCCGCCTTGTTTTCTCGACTTAGTTTGTAGACGCCAATCCGTGGCCCTAGACCGTCAGCCTTCGACCTAAGCTCACGTTGCCCCACACCTCTCGGTTGAGTTGAAGTTAGCAACAACCCCCCTACGAATCAGCCTCTTCGTCTGCGTACGGTATGTAGTTAATCAGATCCTTTTTGTCCTTTTACTCCCCCTTAACGTGCTTAAGATGTTGGCAGAACGCCTTTGCGCTTATTTATAGACTCATGATGAGTGTGCCGTACTAAGTGGCAGCTACTACGCGCGGTAGGTCAGCAAACGCCAGGTTGGGCCCCAAACCCGCAGAGTTTACCCACCCCTTAACCCGACGTCTTCCCGCACACCCATCCCACTGTGGTCAGCGGGTACTGACGGGCAAGCAGCTGATGGCAATACCCGACACAGAGATCCACGATGCTAGGTAGCCCAGAACCTTTTTCCTGCAAGTTAGATATAGCATTGTACGACAACTCTTCCTGTTCCGTACGGTGATGATGGCGACAACGGTGTCGGCAATGGCTGGTCGAGGGGTCGGGAACAAGTAACAGGAGAATATAGGCAAATGATTGTTAAAGTTGCAAGTTACGAGGTCCGCACAAACGCGGGGGGCGTCCATAAAAGCCTGAAGGGTTGCCCTTGGGCGGCCAACAGCCGTTATTGTGGCGCTGAGTGACGTCCGCTCTCCCACTCGCCCGGGCTCGGCATAAGTATACAGCGGCTAGGCTTTGGTGACATGAGAGTGAAGTTGCGGGCCGAGGGGCAGAGGCGCTGGTTGGCTGCGCACAAGCGTGTATGTATGAAAGCGGGCTACGAAATCGGCTGGGGGCGGGTGTCCCCTTGTTATGGAGCAATACAATCCCCTTCGTAGTCCTTGGCCGCCCAGAACGCCCCTGACCCCATGCTCGCACGCGGCGCTCAATCTGCCCCTCGTACGTGTCAGGAAACCTTCCAGGAAATCCCGCCGCAAGCAGGCATGGTGTCGGGATATACCCGTAAACAGAGGTACGTGTAATATGTAGCATGTGCATTCAAGCCGTAAAGTAGAAGGGGCGACGCCTCCTGCAAGTTGAACTAGCAGTAGGACTATCCAGAGGGGCTGGGGAAGGGTGACGCCTTCCTCCGTTAGCTCGACCGCTGCTAATGTTCATGCGATATCTGCCTTTATAATACCTTCATTAGTAGTAGCTGGCAATTAAGGTCTCTCAAGATGCTCACAGAGCGCTTTTATATAGGTGGTGTGTACGCAGAAGCTCCAGCAGTGGTCGAACGTTAGTGGCGAGGGAGAGGGCCAGAGAGCCCTTGAGGGTGGACTCTGGTGCCCAGGCGCGAGCGGGGGATTGTGTCGTTGCAGGGAAAAGGGACTGGGGATGACAACGGGTTCGCGGAAGCCTAGCGGGCGTTGGGGGACCTCACCGCGCGCGTCGTTTTAATCTTCCACGTCTTGCCCGTGCGGGCAACCTTTGAGGAAACGGACAGTCGAAAATTGTCCGATGCTATTTGGGCGCAAATGGGATGCGCCACGGCAGGAAGGCCATTTCTGGACTGTGGCTAGGTGAGCCCATTTTTGCAATGAATTGGAATCCGGTCAGTGTGCTTGCATACCTGGTATCCCTAGACTACAAATTCGTTGCAGTCCTACATTTGCGGACTTGTGAAATATGTGAATTCTCCTTGCATGGAACAGTACGGTGGTTGGCTTCGGTTGACAGGTTGACAGGTGCCGCATCAAGAAAGCTCATAATGAGATACAGATAGAACGTTTGGTACATTCCTGTTATAGCGCAAACTTCATACAGGCTTCCGTGACCTGACCATTATTTTGTGCCTGTGAGGTATAACTATGCTTTCGCTTTCGATCACCTATTACATATGCCTCTTTACAGAGCTCCTATACCCTACGTATTGTTCCTTGAAAGCTATCCAGAGCACATCGAAGATTGATGACACACAGGTTGGTCGGTTGGTTTTGAGCGCCACATTGCGAGCTCGGTCCTGACCCCCCATGTCCTTCATTATTGCTGCAGTGGCTGACGTACTGGGTGAGGAACATGATTAAGTCATCTTTGCAAGAGGATTGGATGTCGAGAGTTATGCTCGCTATGCTGGCCCACTCTGAACTTGCGCTATGTTTTTAGGTTGTGTATGCAATCTTTTCGACGATGGAAGGCGTAGGAAAATTTTTCCTCGGTTGGTAAGCAGTCGTAAATTGGAAGGTGTTGCGCGGTGGAGTCCCTGCTTGACTTTTTCCATGGTCTCCAACAGGATTCCCTTGTACTATGAGATTAAACTACTCTTCGTGATTTGGATGATCGCGCCTCAGACCCAGGTACAGTTCAAAGGGCACTGCTTCCTGAAGGCTGACCATTGCGATTTCCGGAAGGCAATCGAGACTGCCGGTAATGTACTTACCCTTTTGTTTTTTTCTCAGGGAGCGCGTAAGATTTACGAGGATCACATTGTTCCCATGGTAGGGCATCGCTTCTGTGGACTGTAGTTGTTTCCTAACTAACGGGGTAAGGTTTGGATTGATCCCCCCATCCATGGAACACCGTACACCATGTGATCTCCGCAGCTCAAGAAGTACGGCCACAAGATTGATCCCATTTTTGGGCAAGCTGATGCCGTGCTAAAGAGCAGTTTGGTCAATCAGATTGCCATCTCGGCGGAAAAGCACGCACCTGGGCTTGCGGAGCAGGCACTAAAGCAGGTGAGGGCACGGTTCTCAGCTGGCGTGGCCTTGGCGAAGAGACATTAGGAGGACATTACATGCTATCGCGGCGCAGACGGGGATAACTGAACATGGTGTAGTTCCAGCCATATACCGGATTATCATGAAAATGGCCGTTGACTCGACCATTGCATCTTTTCCCTCCGGGTAGTTTCTCTGCCATGTTATTTAGCGACCCCATTCTCGCACGTGTTAATTTGGCTCGGCAGGCTCAGGAGCAAGCAGTGAAGACCGTCAAGCTAGCACAGGCCATGGCGGAGCAGGCAAAGAAGGATTGACGGCGTGTCCTGGAGACTTCATGACACTAGTGTCGAGTGTGATGCCGCGGCATGACGATATGACATTGATTTAGGAGTGTCTCCTATGCTAATTTCTGCAGCGTAGCAACTGCAGATCATGCAGACGGCAACCTGGGTGCGCACGGCAAGAGCGTCGGATCTCCGGTCCGTTTGAACACGAGGGCTTGCCCGTTGCGTGTAGGATGGTCAGCGCAGCGAACGTATTGGGTGAAGGCGCCGTCCACTATGGTTGCTCAAAATTCTTTGTGCCGCGGTCGCCAACGTTTTTTTCTGGCTGCCTGCGGATCTAATTACGTGTCAGGTTGTTAAATCATATTGGGGGTGACTGGCGCATTCCGGTCAAACTTCTCGTTCCCGAACGCTGGCGGCGAAGGAATGCGAACGCTGTCCCGCTGAGTGTCTGCTGGGGGGTACGCACCATTAAGTAAGGGTCTGCCGCATCTGTCGTACAGGTTGGGGTTCCTGTTGGGGCCTGTATCCACCGGGGTCAAGAATATATATAGGAATATATGTATTTTAGGGGGTAATAGTGTATTTACGTTATCATGCCGATGCCGATGGATGCCAGCCGTCCCTAAGGGCTTACTAGCAACGTGGCATTACGGGATTAGCCATTTGGCGTTTCTGTTCCTAGGTAGGGCACATAGTGAATAAAGAGTTAAGGCATTTGCAACTGTTTCATGTTTGCAAAAGACAATCAAGGGTGCCTTTCTCCCTTGTAACCAGATTTGAGGAATAAAACAATTGATTTACACGGTTGCCCCTCGCCGGTCCTGGACATGCAGTGTTGTCAGGTTTCTGATCCCGAAGTTGTTCGGGGCCACAAAAAACTAATCCAGTAATTCAGGCTGACCTTCGGAGCCTTGCTTTCTGTGAGAATCGCTGCGACACGCTGCCATGCACGTCCCTGTAGCGTCCCATGCGTCCCTGCAGGTGCGTCTCTGCAGCAAGCCATAAACGCTACGAGCCAGCCGCCTCATGGCAACTCCTGCCATTCCCCTATCTCCTAGGTGAAGCGGCCGAATCACTGATTAGACTAACACGACTCTTTGCATGGACGTTGACGCGAAGCTGGCATAACCTGCATTGGCTTGGAGAGTATGCACTATTTGCTAAACACACTACATATATGCAGGGGCCCACCTGCTACTGGCAGGACAAAAGGTGTGTTGGGCATTGAAAAGCGCCGGGTTAATCACCGAACTGCCATGGGCTGTTGTACAGCCGTGCATGTAGACTTGTAAATGCCGTACATTTGCGAAACGGAACGGGCGCCGTTAATAGGGTTGCCGCGCAGCCGCATGACAGCAGTAACGCAACGGCTGACGTATCAGCCTTCTCTGGCCAGTGGCCAGTGGCCAGTTTTGCGTGGTGGTGTCCACTTTCCTATTGGAGGATTTCCCTTGGCCTCCTTCTTGGCCTCACGGGTCATGGCGCAACCACCAGGCAGTTGGCTCGTGTCACATTCCGTTCATGCATTCCTAGGACCTTCCCAACAAATTACATTTAACCCGGTGTGCATAACGGGACAATACTGCTATATGTCAGCGCAGCTGATGATAGCGTGCATCCATTCGCTTGAGTGGAAGCTTTGCGAAAGAAACAAATAAAAACAAATATAAGTTCCGTTACAGTGACATAGTTTTAAGTCTACGTTGACTGCAACGCATTGCAAGCTAGAAGCCATTAAGGCAGTCGTGTGGTCGGAATGCCAGGATCCCGGTTCCACGGCATTGGTGCCGATAGAGTATGTTGAGCAGCACGTTCAGCGCATTCTGCTTCGTAAGCAATTTCATGAATCAAAATCATACAATATTCTGAAAATATTATCCGGATGTCACTCTCGGAATGTCTGCGGTAGGGTCATACCAGCCATCATGTTCACTTCAGTTACTTAATGCACGATTCAGCGTTGGTCATTACCGTATAGCTCCTGGACTGCATAGACACCACTTACACCGCGGTCACGAGTCCCCCTCAGTTCGTTATGCGCCGGCGGTTTGCCATGAACCAGGCGCGCAAGCGCCCCCGCACGGGTTGTGCCACAGCTTTTTACGCCGTCGTTGCATTGCCACAGCATCAGCTACAACAATCGTCGCTTCAGGCACGAGCGACAGCGACCCTGCACCCGATTCTGCGGGCATGCTGCGCTATCAGCTCGACTTGCTTCGCCGCATGGTGTCATTCCTGGGTCCAGCCACACTCATACCTCTCGGGGAGCCCCTCATGAGCCTGGTGGACACAGTCTGCATCGGCCAGGTACGGCACTTGGGCAAGGCGCCATGACCACCTTCATCCCACCCATGGTACACGCACGCAGGTGATGCAAGGCGCCGCAGTCCCGCATTTGTAGGTGCTGATACCCCTAAGTATGCCAGCTGCTATTGTGGCGGTTTCGCCATCGGCATGTATAGCGGGACAGAGGCAGTAGCTACAGCACTAGCAGTAGCAGTAGCCGCTGGTACTACTTTATATTGCACTGGGAATTGGCAGCCTCCGTGGAGAAACAATCTGATCTCAATCTACACCGCCCGTTGACCTTCATCCCCGCCCTTTCTGCCTCCAATCCATGTCTTCATGCACGAACTGCGCCTCTTGAGCCCCTCAGCCGTCCTCATTCCCGACTTTACCTGCCGCGTACCCCGCGGGCACACCACATCTCTCCTTCCTTCTACACGCCGGGGGACCTGACGCCCTCCCCTTCGAACACGCACACTTATGACCTTACCCAGACGCGCACGTGCCGCGTTCCCAACGCCCTCTCCACTTCTCCCCCACCCCAACCGTGATTCTCTCTCTCTCTCTCTCTCTCTCTCTCTCTCTCTCTCTCTCTCTCTCTCTCTCTCTCTCTCTCCCACCCCAGTTCGCCGGCACCAGCCAACTGGCGGCTCTTGGTCCGGCCAACCTGGTCTTCTCCTTCTGTCAGTACTTCCTTCAGTCGTTGCAAGTGGCCACTCTGAGGTGGGACCAGGGGGGGGACCCGGGGGGGGGGAGAAGGGGAGGACGGCGGCGGGCGGGCTGGAGTGACACATCTCCTAGTTTCTTCCCAGTGCGCCGGCGCCTGCCTACTATGCTCGACCTGCCTTCCTGCCCCCGTCCATCTCCACAGTTTGGA